CATTGAAGAGTGTTTTCTTTCTTTTTCATGGGAACACTGAGACTTATGCTGCTATCAGAGACAACTTTAGATAGAATCTTCTCTTTATTTCTTTAACTGCCACCTTTTGACAATCATGGCCAAGATGTTTCTTTTTCTTGGTTTGGTTTATGCCAGTAAATGTACTCTTGCTTTTGTTTTTTATAGTATTTATTTATTTATTTATTTGCCTTTTTGGTGGTGGTGTTAATGCTCACAATTTTCTGCTTCCCAGCTAATCTTTACCCAGAAATCTCAGTGGCAGATGTGTTTACGAAGAGGTACAGATTTCCACAGAGAACTGTCAATCCTCTGTCACTAAAACCATTCTCACAGTAGCTAGATGCCCACCTGACAAGTTGTTATAGGGGAGAGTCTAGGATTAAGATGAACACTGTATTGTTTTTGTTGCTGTTGTGGGCTGTTGAGTTGATTCTGATTCATAGTCACCTTGTATAGGGTTCCTGAGATTGGCTGTTGGGTGTGAACTGCCAACTTTCTGTCAGCTGTCTAGTGTTTACCCTACAGCACCACACCAAGGCTTAACATTATAGGTAGCCTCTAAATTCCTCCAAACTCTTAAGATTTCATATTTATATTTACTTGAAATTAAATAATTGATCACTGAATTGTAGGAAAAGTCTGTTGGTAGACCCCTAACTGTAGCCGTGTCTTCAGTTCCTAGCCAAAACAACAGATCCTCTCTCCGTGCTTCCAATAGCTTTACTCCATTCTTATACCAAGTTTTGTAGAAGTTAGATTTTGTAATTTGGGGTCATTTTAGTTAATATTTTGTACCATAGTTTATCCTTCTTAATGCCTTATAGCAGGGGGAGTGTTGACATATTGTGGAATTTCAAATCATGTTACAGAACAATTCATGTATGAATTGTTGAGTGAAAAAACTCATTAGCTTTGTAAGCTTTCGTTGAAAGTATATATAATAAAATATTTAAAACAAAAGAAAATCAAAAGACAGTTACCGGGACTTACATTGTGTAATCTAAGACTTCCCTCACAGTTGGTTTTATAACAGTTCATTCGTCTTAGTTTGGTCCTAGAATGCCCTCCTACCTTTGGACGTTTAATGGAAACCTCAGTTAGAATCAGGCCGTCGTATCAGACTGTGAAGTGATTTAGACTGTGATAGAGGCCTGCCGCTTTTAGGGTTTAATATGCTTTGCTCTTGAACTTGAGGCTCAGAGTTGTGGGATTGGAGAAGGATTTTTATCCATTTCCCATTTTAACCTACAAAAAGTGTCAATTTCCTGTGGGTCAGCCTAATAGTTCCCGGACCCTATCGACATTTTCTCACCACCAAGCCACAGAGCCCCAGCATCTCCCGGTACCACCAGATGCTGCTAGATGCTCATCGCTCATTATCCATGGAAGGTTTGCCATTCTGCCTTAATGCATGTAGACGCAGTCCTAGTATAGCTTTTCAGTTCAATACTTTGGTAATTAGCGATCTTGAAGGCCACCTATACTATAAGGAATTCTTTGTTGTTTTTGTTAAGTGCCATTGAGTTGGTTCCAACTCACAGTAAACCTGTATAGGGTTTCTGAGGAGTGCCTGGTGAGCTTGAACTGCCGACCTTGTGTTTCAAACCAACCTTGTAGTCCATGCATTAACCCGCAGGGCCACACCAGAACTTCAAGAAGTTCTTTAGATGGCCTGGATTAAGCAGGGTCCTTTGTGATTGTGCATCCTGTTTCCCCCTAACTTTTATTATGGATTCTTAGGCACTGCATTGACTAGGTACGTGTGTACGTAATACTCATTCTTGTGAATACTGCCTACTTTTACATTCCCCATGTTGTCCTTGATTTTCTACCTGATAATGGTCATCAGGAGTCCTGGTGTGGCACTGTGGTCTAAGGCGTTAGACTGCAAAGTTGTTTGAACTGCAAGGTCAGTGGTTCAAGCTCACCAGCTGCTCCTTGGAAACCCTATACAGGGTCGCTATGGGTTGGAATCGA